CAAGTGGTGGACACATTTTGCCAATACATCGATATATTTCTGAGTTTATTCTCTTAGTTAATTGAGAAATTTCTTAATTTAATGTGATATATGAAGTGAAAAGTGGCCATTTTTCATGAATCTTCCAATATCTTTAAGAGCACGTTTAAATACGTCGAATATGCATCGATATCGCACAACTATCGATATTCGTGACGGCAGCTTGTTGCCGGGAACTTTCAATTGCCAACAATTAATTTTTTTACACAGTAACGTTACTCTCCGACGCTAAAATCGATTTATCGTAAAAATCTGGTTTTTGTCGTTAACGCCAGTTAACGTAAACAAGGAATTACCCTAAATAAATGGTAAAATTGATCTACTTTAATGCAATCTAGAGAATAGATACTAGTGCCAAAACTATCGATTGGTATCAGCTGTTCAAAGAAATTAAAATTTAAAAATGAGCACACATAAACACACACAAACACACCATTCTAACGGATGGATACATAGGTAGTCTCGTAAAGGCCAAACAAATACAGACTTCGCGTGCCTTTTGCCCACACCGTTCGCAAAAGAACACAAAGTAAGCGATAATTGATTGTTTTAAAACTGCAACAGACTTTAAAATAAATAATAGTAAAATTTAAGTCTCAGTGCCAAATGGAATATCGTACATATGCATAAAAAGTGAATGTCAGTGCAAAAACATAACATTGCGTAATGGGGCCACATACAACAAAACAAATGCATTCAAATTGCGGTTGTGTTAGCGTATATGTATGTGTGTTGATGTCTGTCTACTGTGACTGTATATCTAGCTTGCAACTGAGCATCGTTTCAGTTGTGCGCATGTTTTAGTTGGCCTCAAAAATTGTGACCGCTTGTGACAGTACATACACACAAACATATGTATGTATGTATGTATATTAAATATGCACTTAAGTTGCCGACAGACTCATTGCTTAAAATCAATTAGTATAAACTACATAAGCAAAATATAAATACACACACAAATATATATGTATGTGCATACATATAGTTAAGCCCATAAATGTGTTTATCGGGCATATGTACATCTACCAGGTTCTATACAACAAAAGTAGTGGAAAGTGCTGTCTTCGCATTTTTATAGACACTTCTAGGGTGCTTTTATAGGCTCTCTCACTCTCATTTTCGTTCTCTGTCACACGCTCGGCTTACCCTCGTATTAAATTTAAAAGCAACAACAAGAACTTTCGGCGCACACACTGTGCTCCTACCCACCCCTTCTAGTGGACAAGTTTCGGCAATTGGAAATTTCCACAGCCGCAACACTGAAAAAACAGCTGATGCTTGTCAAAAATTGGCGCTACCTTAGTATTTGTGCGCACACGTATTTGCAAATACTCGCGTGTGTATTTGTGTCTCAAAAGCTTTAAAAGAAATTCGACGTTTACACAACACTTGCCCAGTTGGCATTGCTTTCGCACGAGACATTGTAATTATACGTAAATGCAAATTTGATTTGTTTTGGTATTTTATTATCTTCAACGTTGAAAGTGGGTGTGTCTCACGTTTGGCTGCTTATCAAGTGTAATCACGCGTCGTTTCGCCTGCTGCCAGAGTCAGACCCCCAATGAACATTTCAAGGTTGCTGATAAACGTTGCTGTTCTATAAATGGAATTAATGAAACTTTTTGTTTGTGTACTTTTCCGTTATCTCACAGAGCAACAACATTTTGGTTTTTACATAACAAAGTGACAAGTGAGACAAACCCCAGACGAGCCTAAACCATTCCCAGCTATAAGATGTTGCGATTCGTGCGTAATCTGACTGCCAGTTCCGCTGTACCACAAACCGCCGTTAGAAGGTGTGATTATATCTATGATTTAAGTAACCTCCTTAATACTAAAATTTCCCTGCCCCTACGCAGCCTGGGCAGCGTCGTCGTGCAACCAAAACTGAAAGATTTCACTATTGCCAACGAGCCAATCTTGACTTATCGCAAGGACTCAGCGGAGCGCAAGGCACTGAAGCAGGCGCTGGAGACTACCGCCGCAACATGTGAGGAGGTGCCCATTGTTATTGGCGGCAAGGAGTACAAAACGGATAAGGTTATGCATCAGGTGATGCCGCATAACCACGCACACAAGCTGGCGAAGTTCTACTACGCTGACAAGAAACTCTTGGAGAAGGCTATCGAAACGGCAGTGGAAGCACAGGTCAAATGGGATCGTGTTCCGCTATCTGAGCGCTTAGCGATTTGGGAGCATGCTGCGGACTTAATGGCGGGCAAATATCGTCAGGCCTTGAATGCAGCAACCATGTTGGGACAGGCCAAAACAGTCATACAAGCGGAAATCGACGCGGCATGCGAGCTTATCGATTTTATACGGTGAGAACATGGATTTTCTATAATATTTGTCGAAACTTATTTTCCGTTTCAAGAAAGGTTCTCCTACATATTTTCGTGTCTACAATTCATAATTCTTTACGTCACTCTTCTATATATATTTGAATAACCTTGTTATTGTTGAATCCACAGAATTCACGCCTTTTTTCTTAAGGAGTGCGTCAAGTATCAACCCATTAGCGAGGACTTGAAGGTCACGAAGAACTCGTTACGTTATCGTGGCATTGATGGTTTTATAGCCGCAGTCAGTCCATTCAACTTTACCGCCATTGGCGGCAACTTGGCCTACACGCCCGCATTGATGGTATATTCTTGAATATTCTTTCAACGACTTGTTTCATTGTCTATTTCTGTGCGCTGCAGGGCAACGCTGTGCTGTGGAAGCCCTCGGACACGGCTCTCCTGTCCAATTGGCGTATATTCAATATTATGCGCGAAGCTGGCGTGCCCGATGGGGTGGTCAACTTTGTGCCTGCGGATGGGCCAGTCTTTGGGGATACTATAACCGCTTCACCCCACCTTGCGGGAATCAATTTCACCGGCTCAGTGCCGTAAGTACTCTTTTTGTGTGATACATTTTATTGATTTTCATAACTGAAATCGTTTCAATACACAGCACATTCAATCGACTGTGGAAGCAGGTCGGTGACAACCTCGATAAATATGTTAACTTTCCGCGCCTTATAGGAGAATGTGGTGGCAAAAATTTCCACTTTGTGCACTCGTCAGCGGATGTGCAGTCGGTGGTTACATCCACATTACGTTCAGCCTTCGAGTATAGCGGTCAGAAGTGTTCCGCCTGTTCGCGCATGTATGTGCCGGAGTCGTTATGGCCGGATGTAAGCATTTGGGGTATAATTTCAATAAATGCTCGGTATAATATCGCTTTTATTTTTGCCTCCAGATCAAATCGGGACTGTTGTGCGAAGTGAAGAAGCTCAAGATCGATGATGTGCAGGACATGAGCACCTTCACATCGGCTGTTATTGATGACAAAGCATTTAAACGCATTACAGGCTACATTGAACATGCCAAAAAGAGTCCTAATTTGGAGATCCTTGCTGGTGGCACTTATTCCGACGCCAAGGGCTACTTTATCGATCCAACCATAGTGCAATCCAAGGATCCCAAGGATCGCATTATGACTGAGGAAATCTTTGGACCCCTGATTACTATTTATGTATATAAGGATTCCGATTTGTATGATACCATGAAACTGGTGCATACCTCAACCCAATTTGCACTGACCGGCGCTGTGTTTGGACAGGACGAGTAAGTGTCAACAATCGACAAACACTAAGCTTATCACTCTTAACATATATACAATTACGATTTGTAGAAGCTTTATCAACTGTGCTTTGGAGGAATTCAAAATGTCGGCTGGAAATTTCTATATCAATGATAAGTCCACTGGATCCGTAGTGGGTCAACAGCCATTTGGCGGCGGCCGCAAGTCGGGCACCAATGACAAAGCAGGTGGACCGCATTATATACTTCGCTGGACGTCGCCTCAGTCTATTAAAGAGACATTTGTGCCTCTGCGCGACATAAATTATCCGTATATGTGCGATTAAGATAGAAGAGAGCAAATTAGAAAACGACAGGAATCTCATTTTAACTACTAACTCATTTATAAATATAAAGGGAATGTATATGTATTTTGTTGAACTATTTTTAACACGTACCTTCCTCCCCAACAGCCCCTAGTTAACCGACACAATTGTATGTAGTTAAATGATATATCAAATCTCTGCTGTATTTTTCTCGCCGCGAACAACCAAATGCCGAAAGATGTTGTAAAATTGATATGCTGATTACATTTAAAACTCACACACAGAAACCTAATGTAACTCGAATTATAAAATATGTTTTTAATTACAAAGTAAAGTTTTTGAACCGATTGTGATTATTTAATTATATAATTTCATAATTATTTGATTTGAATCTGCTTTGTTGTCATAGCCAACGCAATAAAGTTACACGTAGTTACTATTGCTATATACCTATATATACAGCTTGATGTATATATAGCAAAGTATGCATACACTATACATACAAGCAAACTACATGACAATACCACTTGAATACTAAATGTGAACAAACAAATATGAAAAATACAAAGTTACATAAACACAAAATTGAAGTTCATTCAAATAAATATATAAATTCAAAATTATTGTTAAATTTTTAATTGCATTGCCCAAAGGTGAGTGCAATTGAAGCAGCCGATATTAAGCTTGTTAAGTGTGATTTATATAAAATTTATATGTGTGTATGAATATTGACGTTTATATTTTATTTAGCAAAGAATGTCATTTAAACACAAATACTCGGTTCTAAGTTCGAACTTATTCTAGCGATTCATGAAACATGGTTTCCGCACTAATGAAACCAGATTTTGATGATTTGAAATTCACTTTTTACAGTTATTTCAATGCACGATAATTAATGCTTGAATTTCGGCTCGGTTCTAAGGTGCTCAGACTTTAACACCATGCATTTACCCGAATGCCTTTTATTTTAGGCAATCCACTTGGAGACTTGCTAGATGAGTTCCATATATGAAGCGTGTTCCTTTTTTTTGTTGTTTTTCTCAGCTTAGTTGTAGCAGGCGTTCAGTTTATTTTTTTAAGCATATTCAAGTTGCATGAGAAATTTAATAATTAGTTTTATAAAATAACACATAATGGCTGCTCCACACCATCCACTTTCGTCTTCTAATCCCTGCTCCACATCGATTGCTACACAAACGGATAGCTTGCCGGATCTGTTCGAATTGTTATATTGTGACGATAAAATGGTCTGGGAGACATCGTACAATGGAGCTGCTGAATATACACCTTCACCAAAGATTGATAACCATGCCGTTAGTACTTTCCCATTGAAATACTGTAAATGCATAAATTTAGTTTAATCTTCATGTGTTTTGTAGAGGTGTCGCAGGAGTCTTGTTTTGACCAAAGAAGCAGAAGAGTTTGCCAAAGCTCCAAGCATCACCAGCGAATTTAATCCATCGAATCCCATGAAAACAGCATCACGACTCGCACACAAATCCCAAATTATACAGTACTATCAAGTAATTATAATTGTGGCTATAGTCACCCTTGTTGTCAATTGGATTGCAGACGCATTGTAAATAAGCCATCCACAATTGTTGTTTCATACGTTTATTACACATAATTCACGTTTTCACTCTATCAACTAAATTTGTAGTTGTTTTTAGCTTTTGATTTACAAGCATAAGTTTTATGTAGCAGAGCAACTTATTATAATAATTAAGTTTTATGCGTTCTTTTTGTTTTGTATTATTATTTTATTTTTATGCACCGATGTTCAGTAAAGCAAACAAATAATCGAATTTACAAAGTAAAAGAAAAGATTGTCCAACGAAATTCAATTGGAAAATCAAACATTGTTTTTATAAAGGTTTACTGAAAACCGGTTCATAAGATAGTCAAGTCAAGTAGAGTCGATAATAAACATAATATTGAAAACTTGACGATGGGCTATAAACCAAGTTGTGCTTTACACTCTGCTTGGTTGGGTTGGTTTGGCTTTTTACAAACTAAATATTTATAAGTTTATGTATTAAAATATGCATATGTTATGTGGTAACATAAATCTAGTCAAATTTGATTGAATTGACGCCCGTGTCAATTTGACCGCCCCGATAGCTGCCGCGCTTCTTTTTGGTCTTTTCATGTTTGAAGGATTTGCCGCGCGTGAATTTTAGATCCTTATTGGCGCGCTCTCCCCAAGAACCGGCAGCATTTTTCTATATTTTTTTTAAATATATATATATTATATAAAAATTTGTATTATTATTTTGTATATAACAAATATTTTGTTTTGCGTGTTTGTGTGTGCATGTGTGTGTATGTTGTAGACTCCATTCAACACCAAATCCAGAAATTACATTCTATAATAATGGTATTGAAATATTGTCAAAAATATTGGAACGCTATTCCACATTGCTTGTATCCTATTATGGGTTGGTTTTCTGGCGTCGTGTGCTTTGTAAATGCCTTAACTAGTTTAGATATTAGTTATCAAAAGTAATTTTCTTATTTTGTTTTGACGCCGAATCGAAAGATTTATTGCCAAATCCACCGCCGCGTCCGCCGCCACCACGTCCAAAGCCACCGCGTCCACCACGGTCGCCGCCACCACGTCCGAATCCACCGCGTCCACCACGATCGCCGCCACCGCGTCCAAATCCGCCGCGACCACCGCGATCGCCGCCGCCGCCACGACCGAAACCACCACGACCGCCACCACCACCGCGTCCACCGCGCTGTCCATCAAAGGACTTTCGCTCAAAGCCGCCAAAGCTCTTGCGCTCGCCGCCTTCCTCGCCGTTTTGCTTATTGCTGTCCCACTTGCTACGATCCGGACGGCCGGCAAAGCCAGAGCCTCCGCGTCCACGTGGTCCATTACTAAACTTCTTGAAGCCACCGCCGTCCTAGAATAAAGCACCACAAAATGGTTAAACACAAATTAGCCAAGCCCTGCAGCAAATGGCAAATGCAAATAGAAATTCAGATAAGGAAAAAGCAAGTGCCACAAAATGATTTGAGTTTGGAAGGTGCTTTTGCTAATTTGTGTGTAACCCCCTGCCACTGCCTAACTAAAACCTACCCGTCCACACAACGGGCAGCTGTATATATGTTTGTGTCCCACATACATACACACACACACACAGCACCAACAAACTGCGCGCCACACTCAAATGCATTTGTGGCACTTACCTTTGCCTCAAAGGACATGTCCTGAACGCGTGAATCCACGAGAACCTCCTCGGTCCGTACACGTCGGAAAGGCGATCTACGACGTCCCCCACTGCTGTTGTTCAACTGTTTGTTGTTGCTGTTGTTGTTGTTGTTGGCATTGTTGGGCGTGGAGGTGAAACCATTGTGCTGCTGTGTGTTTGCCAAATAGTTAACATGGTTAATTGAGTACCAAATACGTTTAAAGATTGGGCGCAGACAGTGTCCTTATAGTATTCCAATGGACAGTCCCTCAAGGAAATAAATCCGTATATATAAATATACAAATGCTTGTCCGCAAGACTGACTAATCACCAAATTGTAACCTGAACCTTTGGAGATGTTCAGTTCAACTTCAATTGGTATTATTTCCGTTTTTGACTGATCCTTACATTCAGATGAAACTTGCTCCTCCTTATGTCCAAGCCATCGTTGTATATCGAACGCGAAATAAAACAAAACGTGTCTAGAGTAAGCCTATATACATAGGGCAACGAGAAAGAAGAGAACGAACTAACAATGATCCGAGCATCATCCTTGAAATCATTATGAGAGACCAGAAATAGTTTAATATTGTCAAAAACTATTAAATTTTCTGGGCTCGAAACTCTCCTCATTGACTTCAATCCCATCTATAGGTAAGCACTCCCTGCTCAAATTTCGTATTTCGAATATTAGCCGAGGAACTCGGATAAGACTTATTATATTCCCATATTTTGCCAGGTAAATTATTTTTAATATTTAATGCTTAGCATAAGGTACACGTATTTAAGAAGTCATGGTCGACTTTTAAATCTGTCGAAGTCTTCGAAAAAAAAAGACTTCAATAGCGCAAAGCAACCGAATATAACCCGCTCAATCATTTTTTTTATAACTATTAAAACTAATTCAAATCGGAATCACCGAAAACTCAAATATTTGCATTTGCTCTGGCCATTCCCTTAGATGTTGGCTAACTCACCTGTTGTTCGCCCGATTTGACAAAATTGTTGTACTTTTTGTTGGGTGTTGCCTCGTCCGCATCACCTCCGCTGAACTTGCGCTTTTTGCCGGCCCCATTGGCCGCTGGCTGTTGCTTATTGGGCTTCACCTCGCCCGATTCTTCGCTGTCGCTGTCACTATCACTGCTCTCCTGCTTTTTGGCCGGTGCAGGTTTTTTCTTAGCTGCCGGCTCATCGTCTTCGGAAGAGGAGCTATCGGAAATGTCATTCTTTTTGGCCGCCGCCTTTGCAACTGGCTTGGCTGCTGGTTTGGCTGGCTCCTCGTCATCGGAGTCATCTTCGGATGAAGAGTCCTCCTTTTTAGCTGGTGCAGCACTCTTCTTGACAGCGGGCTTGACTGCAGCTTTTTCATCTTCTGAGCTACTGTCCTCGGATGAGTCCTCAGAATCAGCCTTGGCCGCGGGTTTTTTAGCTGGCGTCACGGGAGCCTTTACTGCCGCTTTCTTGGGCGGCGCTTCTTCATCTGAAGAGGATTCAGAGCTAGAGTCTGCTGCTTTCTTGGCCGGCGCGGCCTTAATGGGTGAAGCCTTTGGCGCTTCCTCCTCATCGGAAGACTCATCACTGCTGGACGCGGCCGCCTTCTTGGCAGGAGTTGGCTTTACCGGTGTCTTAGCAGACGCTACTGGTTTCTTTTGCTCCTCTTCAGAGTCACTGCTTTCGCTACTGCTGGATGCAGCCTTTTTAGCTGCCGGCTTAGCAGGTGCTGCTGGTGCCTTCTTTTGCGGCTCTCCTTCACTTGAACTGTCTTCCTCGCTGCTAGATTCTGCTGCCTTCTTAATCGTGGGCTTGGCAGCTGGCTTAACGACAGTAGCGCTCTTAGCTGGCTCCTCATCGGAGGAGTCATCGCTGCTGGAGGATGCAGCGGCCTTCTTGGGCTGAGCTGCCTTTCCTGGCGACTTTGCAGGAGCAGCCGCTGGTTTCGTCTGTTTCTTCTTCTCTTCTTCCTCCTCATCAGAGTCACTGCCTTCGCTACTGGTATATGTGGGCTTGGGCGTCTCGGCCGCCGGTTTCTTAGCAGCAGCAGGAGCTGCTTTTTTGGCCGGCTCCTCGTCGCTAGAACTGTCCCCACTGCTTGAAGATGCAGCCGCCTTCTTTGCAGGCACAGCCTTCACTGGTGACTTTTTTATAGGCTGCTCTTCCTCAGAGTCTTCTTCACTGCTAGAGGAGGCAGCATTTTTAGCAGAATTACCATTTGTGTTTCCGTTGGCTGTCGGCTTTTTGACCTCGACTTCATCTTCGTCGCTATCGCTGTCGTCACTGTCCGATTTACTTTTTTTCACAGGCGGTATCTTTTGTGAGGTTTTGCTTTGATAAAAAGCCAAGATTTCTGTCAGCGATGGCGTATTCTTTCCCACAGTGGGCTACAAATGCACAAAGAAAAGCATTACTGAAAAGTTGTTGGGTTATGAGAACACGTGCTTTCAGCATGGCGCATTGAAAGGTGCCAAACCATTTAGTAGGCGGCATTTGCTTCCTAATGGAAATCACAATTTATCGATTGCACACATTTGATATTGGCCGAAGCGGTAGTCTCATGCGCACGCATGCACCCAAAATGCATTGCATAAAAAAAATAAATAAAAAACGTATGTACTACAACTTACCACTTTTGCTTTCTGCTCAAACACTTTTGCTAGGTTCTTGTCTTTTGTCTTTAGATACTCATGCACTATGGCATCGGTCAACTTTTGTAATTCTGTCATTTTAGTGACTATTTCACGATTTCTTTATTATTTCTCACAAAAATCTAGCAACGACTAACTCGTTGCAGTCACAATAAAAGGCATGGAATTGGACAACGCACACACACGTGTTGTTTCGATATATTTTACACACTCGATATATTCTCCGTAATGCGACTCTTAATTTCACAGCACCGGCAAAACAGTGCTGGTAAATGCAGCCTGTATTGCGCATTCCAGATTTATTATAACCTCCTCAGGATATCATTCATTAAGTGTATTATTGATTAGGTTCTCTTATTATTAACCTTTCATAACATGAAAATAGTAATGATATGCCATAATAAATATTTAATTAGCCAAACCAGCAGATACTAAAGATAGTTCACATTTTAGTAGTTCGATTAAAGTCGCTCCGAGCATAGCTTCACAACTCTATTGTTCAACACTGCTTGCAAACAGCTGTCGTACATTTTGTTTGTTATGAGGCGACTTTTTATAAACTTTGTTTCGTCTTAGCCAAAACAAACAGGCATAAACTCGCACTCTTTAAAATAGTAAGCGGTTGAGGCGAAAAGCGTTATTGGGTATGTACAATTATTTAACCAAAATTTAAGTGCTAATATCAAAATTTACAGTCATGGCCGATGAGCCGTCAAATGCGATTGCCACGCCCCCGACGCCCAGCGAACAAACGCCCTATATATTTAAGCTTAACAATGATTGCCTGGAATGTATATTTGAGCGGCTGCAGGATCTTCGCAGCGAGGTAGCATTTGCCAGAGTTTGTCAACGATTTCAATGGATATGCTTAAACCGATGGCGCGGCTCACATGCTTACGATCAGCTCGATATGGAAAAGTGGCGCGAATTGTTGCCAAACTATGAGGATCTGTGCTATTTTATTAAACAAATGCGCCCCTTTATAAGGCACATGACTGTGTCGAGCTGTCTGTGCACGTTAATAAAGGATCTGGACGAAATGCAAATTTATGTGCTGCCCAATGTAACCAGCTTCTATTATGATCCAGAAGATATGGACTGTTATCCATCGGATCGTAGCATATGCAAAATGGCTAAAATGATGCCAAATTTGCTACGATTGCGTCTAACGACACCTATTCAGGGGCGTTATCTGTCCAACTTTCGACATCTGCAGGAACTTCATTTGTACGAGGATCAGCATAAGGCATATGAATTGCAGCAGGAATATCTGGATGAGATCTGCAGGTAAGTGAAAGCTATTCTAAACTATCAAGTGAATAAACATATAACAAAATCTTGTTTTCGATTTTCGCAGCCAATTGCTTAATCTGCAAGTGCTGGACATACGCATGTATGATGTTATAAGCAAACTGCGTCTTAATAATTGCGTGGACTACCTCCAGAATCTCAGCATCTTAAAACTTAACTTGGCCACATTAAAATCGGTTTTAACAGAGGTGCTAAAGCTGCCAGCGCTTAAGCAGTTGGTGGTTCTGCTGGACACCGAGTGGTGCATACCACCAATGGCTAGTGTGGACAGTTACGATCACAAAATTCGCGAAGTACGAGAATTCTATGATATAATGGAGCGCAAGGCACCGGATATTATAGGCGTTGCGGTCGATGGCTATTACATGCCTCTGGAGCCTGGCTGGGATGCGGATTTATCAATTTGGTCTCATCGGAAGCTACAGCGTTTGGCAATTTGTAGCTGGACACATGCCGTTGACTTTCTGGAGCGGTATACCTGCATGACAAATCTCCAGCTGCTCTGCCTGCGCAACTGGACATATTTGTGCGATGATATTCTACTCAAATTCATCGAACTGTGTCCACATCTACATCATCTTGATGTGTCGTATTGTCGGGAACTGACGCCCAATTTTCTGCAACGCGCACTCAACATTTTGAAGCAACGCGAACCAAACAAACAGAATAATAAATTCATGCGCACACAACCACTACTAATCTATTATGTTCTATGTGGTTTCGAAGATTATGTTGATGTGAAGGTAGGTGATGGGTATTGATTAAATGTTGGTGCTTTGTTTAAAAATAAATTTCATTGCAGGAGCTTAAACATTCACCAGAATACAAGGAATACATAATGTTTATGGACGCCTTTCCTGTTAGCTCTGAACGGGGCCTCAGTTTCGTAGATCGCGGATATCAGTTTGACTTTGAGTAAAACGGCCGGCAGCCAAATTCTTTTGTACATAACAAACAACTCATCAGTTATTGTAAATTCTCTAGTTTCGTGACATACATATATTGTAAATTTATGTTTTGTGTTAAGCAACAGACAAACAACAAGCAAATTGCAGACACAGCATTATTAATTATGTACATAAAGTTCTATGTACAATTTATTAAAGTTCACTTAAATGCAAGCATTAATATCGTACTCTGTTATTATTTATATTTTTATTTTATCGCACTTTCAGCTAAGGAAATAGTAACTGGGGGTACATACATTCCCATTCAAAATTGTTAGTGGTGTGTAATCGAATCCGGGTATTTCAAATTGCACGAGTTTGTGTTGAGCTATCGATAAATATACAGCTCTGGCTAAGGGCTGTATCGATAGAAAATACTTGTCAAATTCCTATTACACTCATTATTCCAGGGTCCTTCAAAAATTGTGAACTTTTCGTCTAAAAATATGGGGGAAAAGCAAATAAAAAACCCCTTAGGGGGAATAGGCAGTACAAGCATCCTAAAATTCATCAACGCTGAACTTAATACTCCACAGGTAAGTACACAAATATGATTTGTATTATTATCAAAAAGTTCTGTTTTGTAGAACAAAGTTTTACTGGGCTTGGGAGTAGTCGCGAGCGCTGGTGCTTTTGGATATATAACATACGTGCGCCACAAGTACGAGCGTCTCGGTTATTACATGGCTTTAAGGGAGGATGGACGCACAGAGTTCATTAAAAAGACATCCAATTGGGAAACGTGAAAGCCACTTGCATTTTTCTTAACTTTATTCAAAATTGTAAAAGAATGCCTCGTATTGCATCCCAAATTTTCAAATTACTTTAGATTATCGTTAAGAGTTTCCTGGATTTTTTAAAACAGATAGGTCAACAAATTGTATAAATGATTAAAATCTTGATAATTCCAAGAATTAAATATTAAACATTTTCTTTGCATGCACGAGTCATTTTTTTGCGTCCCCGTTATATTTTAATGACGTTAAATTAATTTTAATCGTATAATTTACCAGATACTTAAAATGACAGAAAAATAAACAATATTGCGCCGTTATATTGATATTCATCGGACGTTTTGCTGCTCGACTGCGGCTATCGATAGACGATAGACCACACATGTTTTGTTTACTAGAGCATTGTGCAATGTGCCTCAGAATTGTTGAAAATTAAATTGATACATAACTATGAGTGAGAAACAAGCACAAAAGCCCGGTGATGGCATACGCTCCATGAGGAGCACAAGTGTGTTCAGATTAATTAACTTTGAGCTCTACACAAAGCCGGTACGTGCAACAGCAACATTGAACTGTCGCAATAACTATAATGTTTATAAATAAATTATAGAACAAAATCATCATGGGCCTGGGCCTGGCGGCATTAACTGGAGTATTTGGCTACATTGCGTATATGCGTTACAAGTACGAGAATCTCGGTTATTATGTTGCCGTTAGGGAGGATGGTCGCGAGGAGTTTGTTAAAAAGAAGTCCAATTGGGAAACATAAATGAGGTTTTGTCTGGAAACTATTTATTACTGTGTAGCACAATTTGGTACAATCAAGAGTTTGTTGTTATTGTTGTTGTGGTTGCCAAAATATATATTCAAAAATCACAATAGTAGAAAAATGTTTTTTAAACTTTGAAAAATTTGCGCACGTAAAGAAAACAGCATTAACATTATTTCATTTCAAATCAAATACAGGAAGCACGAAAGTACATAATTAGGGGGCCCTGAATAACGAAAACTTGAGTGTTATTTTGTCTTGTTGCTGTTCGTGCAGTAAACTCCTTCTTATCCTTTGTTTTTGTTTCTTTTTGTTGTATCACACATTTAACAGTTGATGGCATGTCGTTTAGACAGATAATTTGAGCGCCTTGAGCTCCTCTAAATAACTTGCCTCCATTTCAATTTTGTTCAATTGATTCAATTCCAGAGTTTCGCCTTGACTTTGACGCGACTTGAGCTTCTTAATGTCAGATAATTTTTTGGCCACACTGCGTATCTTGCGATCCTTGTCGCTATTGTTGTTGCTGCTGCTGTTGTTGGCATTGTTATTCTGTGCAACATTGCCATTGGCTTGATGACGCGGTGTGCCCAGCTCAGCCGCTTTTTGCTGCTCCTGCTGTTGATGATAATGCTGCTGCTGCTGCTGCTGCCTGGGCAGCGTGCGCTGCTTTTGTACTGGTCTGCGCGGTGATTCACCAATAGTTACTGCTGATCCTGTTGCAATATCCTGCTGCTGTTCCAGGCCTTCAATTGGAGCTACAAAAGTTGCAGCCGCATCTGGCGGTGTGGCATCGCCAGCCTCACGCTTGTTGTTGATGTTATTGTTGCCCTTTGCTTTGCTACTGTTGGTATTCCTTTTCTTATTCTTGCCCACACCTGTAACGAGAATGTTTAAAGGCAATTAGCTATTGCAAATAAAAATGTTTATAATAGAAAAAAATTTGGATGATCTACGAAAAAAAATCCCTATGCGGCATATTTTAAAACATTTATCATCTTCATGCTTATTTTATTTGCTTAAAAACATTCCAAAAGTCTTTTGAATATTTGAGTAACATGTATTGAATTGCTGAATACAGACTCTTATACATAATATATTTAATTTTGCACACTCCCTTAATCTTCATCATTATTTATTCAAGCCACCCAGACGCTAAAATCACATATATAATTAAGGACCTTTCGCTTCACAACTCTTCCATGGCTAATATACCTATCGTCTACAGTTACGAAACTCTTGTGTCAGTGCCAAATAATTGGAATAGAAAGTATAAAATCTTCTAAAATTCTGATATTATGACAGTAGTAGGTTTGTTAAAAAGTTGCAATGGCCTTTGGACCAAATATTGAGAGAATAGGAAAGGAAGCATTATTTAGGTGCATAATATTTCACCTAAATAACCATAGAAATGTTGTAGGCAATGTACTTGTTTACTTACAGCCACGTGCTCTAAAATCCTACACAATGCATTTTGGGGTTTGTATGAGTGGAATGGAATGATGAATCTTTACAATTTAGTAGCGCTTATGCTGGTAGGGTCGGTAGCGTCGATTGGGTCGCGTAGAGCTCGCACTTGAGCTGCTGTGGCTGCTGTTGACCACGCTCGTTACCAGCTGGCCCTGGCCCTGTTGCTGTTCGCCCGAGCCCTGGCATCGCCGCATAATCGGATTATCCAAGTCATATTGTCTATGCCAAATTTTCCTGCTGCTATTACCTGGTGCTGCTGCTGGAAGTCCCGGCACCGTCGGCTGCGGCAGATACTTTTCCGGATTCTTGCCCTCCTTTAGCAAACGCAAATGTGGCGGTGTGTAGGCCTTCTTGCTGGCCTCTGGCTGACTGGACTTAATGCCCTCATGCTTGGCCTTCGTAATTTTTGGCTCAGCATACGTATTATCCGCATACTGTTGCCACTCAATGCCGAGCAGTTCCTGACCCTGCGGCCACAAAGTTTCATGTAGCAATGCGCCAGAATAATGATACACCTTAAATCTAGTACGAAAATGCAATTTATATATATATAAGAGGATTATAAATTTATGGAATTATTCTCTTACCCATTGCTAATGCGCAGCCGGGGTGCGGTGGTGGCAGTGACAAACCATTCTCCATTTGGATGCCATTCAAAGTGTGTAGTATCCGCGCATTTAATATTGGCGATCCTCTCCCGTTTGCCAACATCCCAGACTTCAACAGCGCCGGGCAGGTTGCCAAAACCGGCAAGCACAATCAAATTGCCAAATGGATTAAAGTAGGCGCAGTTACGCGGACCTTCGCCAAAATCAAAGATGACATCGCACTTAAGATTGTAGAGTGCCGCCTTGGACGGCATAAAGCCATATACGACAACGAATTCATTAGCCTTTGGGCTCCACTTGACGCTATGCACGGGCCCCTCCTTGGATAATGGCACAGAGCATGTATCGCCCTTGGTGGCCATAAAATGCACTGCTTGATTTCCATAGTAAGAGGCACCGCTCTTGTCCACCTCTGTGCTGGTTAAAAGCAGAAGGCCGCTGCCCCGCTTATTCCACAGCATCTCGACGCGATCAGCTTGAAAGAAGCTCTTGCAGGCAACAGTTTGATTCTGACCCAAAGCCGGATACTTGTAGAGCTTACACATGGATGGTGCGCCCTTCGCACCAGGAATATAAAACGCCAGATATGGCGGACTATTGCCCGGACCAAGGGATAACATACCGCCACGACTGCCGCCAATCTTGCGTGATGTGCTGGCAAATCCTTCAACTGGACCAGCTGCCAAATCATAAAAAAGGGCTTCCCCGCCCACGACCAAGGCGAAGATTGATTCGTCCGATGACCACGAAGGCTGCCAATCCGTTTGATTTTTTTGCACAATGGCAAAGACCTCAGTGCCAGTGGCAACATCATAAACAAGCAAATTTGCAGCACCTTCGGGACGATCCTTCGTAATGGCATAGTGCTCCCAGGTGCAAAGATAATTGCCACGCGGTGAGAACTTGAGATAGAAGGCCTTTGGACGCGGCAGCCTGCACTGTACCGGCCAGCAACCAGCGTTGCCAGTGTTGGAAGTGGGCACGTGTAGCACCTTCACCTCGACACCATTCGAGTATGCGAAGTAACGACCATCTGGACTGAAGCAGATCGAACGTGAACTTTTCGTCTCCTCTCGCGGCAAATTGGGCTTGGGCTCGTATGGCTGTTTTGCACCAGCTGACGACCACAGCTCAACAGCCACGCTAGAGCGAACTGCAAAGAGGCGGGCGAGAAAAAGTTAGTAGCCAACACATACACGCGGTTTGGGGGACGGTCAGAAGAAATGCTTATTTTATATGTATTGACTGCGACCCGAAGGGGCGCAATCTATTGAATTGTGAGGTAAATCTATTTAGCTATCATGTGGTATGCAATAAAATGGATATTATTTATTGTATATTTACTTGCAAGGGTAGGAACAACACCGTCCACAGCCGCAGCCATTGTCTTCAATCTCTCACACACACACACACGGTCACTGACAGCAGTGTTGGTCAACAGTTGTTTGTGTACGCACGGTTGTATTGTGTTGTAATCGATAACGCTAAAGCAACATGCATTGGGCGCGCTTAAAACGAACATCAACCAAACGTATTCAAAAACTGCAACAAAATTTTATGCTCTACGTGAATTTCAAAACATTTTTAGACTAAAGAATTTTGTTACATTGAAGCATCAAGGCAAACTTGGTGCACAGTACAAATTTGATGGCAGGAGGCGCTTCTACTTTCTCTGTATCTTAAATTCTACACACAACGTCAGAGTTTTCATTTCTTTTGGCAAACTATTACGACAGTTAATGTTAAGTTGTTAAGCACAAAAAATAAAAGTACCGCACAATTGGCATTGGAACTCGTTCAGTTACTTTCGCTGAAAATTGTGACCAAACAACGACCCATGCACAGTGGTCAAATGTATACAAAAATTGTTCAATATGTTTAATATATCGCAATTATAGACATTAATATATACGTGTTTTTATTTATTTATTTACTCTTTATTTTATCGCTGAAAATATAAAAATATATTTAAAATATATTAGAAACATATAAGTTCAAAGAAACAAGTTGATAGAATTAGACGATTCTTATTTTTGTAAATGACCTGTGAACCGTTAATGCTGTCCCACTGTGTGATGATGGCAGCCGTCGCGACGCGTCGATGACACCTGTGTGTGGACAGTGGACACAACAAACATGTAATGGCCATTCATGTTTTAGTTTGACAATGTTTCAATTGTTACTATTAATTTTATTTGATTTATACTCGTATACCTAGCCAAGAGTCGAACACTTTTTCTGCACGGCGACTGCGACGACAATTGACTTTAAATTTCTGGCATTTACCAAAGAGAAATGTTAACACAACCTCAACTTTGAAAGTTTTGTAACTGAGTGTGCGTGTGTGCGTAAATTTTGTACTCCATCTTTTGATAATAACCATCACAAATTGAAACTAATATAGCTTGGCAACGGCAACTTTCCCAAAATGAAAAGCGCCTTTGGTATGGACGGTATCCACAGATATTTATAGAATATGCTGTTATGCAATAATATTGATTGTAATTCAATTAAATGCGGTGCATGGCTCAGCCATTTCGCAATGCTTTCGGTTTTTTTATTTATGCAGGTGAAAATTTCAGTCACATTAACGAGCATAAATGTTATAGATTTTGTTAGATCACAGGATAAGTATATAAGCAATAAACACACTCGTATACACATACATATATCTATAAAGGTTTATCTTAATGTATATACATTTGTATATATGAATGCATATATATATATATATATATGTTCTTAGATCACACCCGATGTTAAGCTTCTTGCTCGTTTGATTTGAAATTCGAAGGCCTTCTGTTCAAATGTTGCCCAAATTCAACTCAACATGCACAATCATCTTCAGCCAAGCAGGCGCAGGCGACACAAGGAACGCAAATTACAAATAACAAACAAAAACTGCAACATAATATTCCCAGTGCTACAGCAGCTATAACTACCAGGTAAAAGTTTCCAGACTTTTTATCCAGTACCTTCATTTTTTAGAAGTCGCTAATAATTTTGGGGTGTGTGTGTGTGTTTTTTTTTTAACAGTTAAGTAAAGGCATGTGTTTATTTTACGTTCTTCAAACATTCACTCAGTCAAAAATGTATTCGTTGATTTTTATTTATTTTCCATTCAAGCTGTCTTTAAGCAAATAGATTGGTATACCTTCAGTTAATAGAAAATATCAAGAAGCTATATATAAATATTCATATTCATTCTTAAAATGTTTGAAAATAACTTTTTGTGAAAAACGTGCTAATAACAAAAACGCAACAATGATTGTTAATGTTTAATACATTTGCTTTTAGCTATTTCATTAATTGAAGTTTATTACAATAAATTTTGACTCGATTTCGATTTGGTTTATGTGCAGTGTGGCCAGACTTCTTGCTGTTTGCTTGTTTTGCTGCAGAATCGGCGCCCGAACGTGTTGCAGCCTCTGAGGCTCAGCCATTTAATCCTCGCCATTCTCATCTGAACAACAGACTGCACAACAACCCAAGATGGCTAAGCAGGGACAGCAGAGTATCATGATAACGCAGCAACAGCATAAGAATAATGTTAACATAATGATCCCGATAATTATAAAAAGAATGGTGGGACTCTTTTTCTTTTTCGGATCGTTGGCTGTGTTTTTTGCCATTGCCTTTGTGGTTAAAGGTAAATCCATTGTACTAATTTACAAAATTAAATTTTAATTATTAAATGTAAGAGTATGTCCCATAGCCGTAGAGTAAACATACATTTTCCTGCAGGTTATTCTTATGGCTACCTGGCGAATGCCTTATATAACAATCCAAAGGTCTGGCCCTTATCTGTTTGGGATTAGAATATTTTCAAAAATAAAAGAATTTAAAGAAAAACGTTACGATTATTTAAAAAGAGCACAATAAGTTACAAGCTAAGTTATGTTAACTACATGAGTTCCTTACATGTCCACATCAATCAATTAGATTGACTTCATCGATTGTTTGCAGATCTCAGTAGCCGTAGCAAGAGGAAAACAAAATTCGATGTATTTATCTGTTACAAATTGAGACGTATCAAAATTTCCGAATGTTTTATTATAGTAGTTGGCTTTCTACACACCTTTCGTTTGCATTGGTTTTTGGTATTTTCGATGTTGATTATTTGTTTACTTGGCTCCTGCTGTGGTCTAAATTGCTGTCAAGGCATATGACAGGGAGTTCTTAAATTACAAATATGAACATATGATTTTAACAAATTATGCAGCATACAAAAATTGGATACGAGTTTGCTTTTGATTCAGGTAAGTCTAGAAAGCTTGTCATCAGCCTATGAATTTTGCCTAATCCAGCCCAACTTGCAATTTTCTATTATTTTTCATTAGACCCCATAATGTGCAATCCTAAAGCCTTTCAAAATTGCTGTTCCCGGGAAAAAGTGTAGACGATAAATATAGTTCTCTATAAAATAGATCTTAAATGGACAATTTGTAAGTGTCTTCTATTTAAAAGCATTTGTATATTTATTTAAACAATTTTGTATAAATTCAATTAAATTAAATTAAATTACGTTGCAGTTTCTGGACACGCCTGCATTGACGACCCACAGCTGGCAAGACATTTTTTATACTTTAAAAAACGTTAAATTTATAATACGAATATATACGCATTTTGTGGCAGATTCATATGCTACACACTAGCTCATCTTTATTGCTGGTGCCTGGGTGTTCATCATTCGCATTAGCTGCAGTTTTCCGTGCCCCAGACGAACACCAATCCCGATACCAGTGTCAACAACAGGTTACGAGCAATGCGTCGCCGTCGTTGCGCAGTCGGTGCGCAGTCGCAGTGGCAGCGGGCAACCGAGCACGGCCAAGTGCTTAAGGAATGGTAAACGTTACCTGTGCACGTCAGTCCAAGGTGAGCGCTCGTGCTGTTCGGTTTGCTTTGCATTGGTTTGGTTTGGTTTGCCAGCTTGTTGGGCCGCGTTGTTTCACTACTCAGAGACCAAGACGCTGAGCTTGAAATTGAAATTCTTTTGTGCTGGCCCTGTGGCTCGTGTGGTCTCTGTTACGTGTTTCGATCAAGTGCGGTGCGGAAAGCAAATCAAATTTGTATACATAAAAAACGTTAAACCAAAACGTAGCTGCTTCCAAGTACAGCAAACCAATAAACAAACCAACACACACACACACACACACACACACACACACACAAACAAACACACACACAGTTTTAAAATGGAATACCGGTGCTTAAGTAGAAGTTCTGTCAAAGTAAGTGACCCCAATAAGCCAAAAAAAAAATGAAAAAAATAAAGAGATACAAGTAACAGTTCCTAAGGCGACTAGAAAATACTCTGTACAAAACTCTTAATTAAATTGTGAGCATTTGAAGTGTTAATTGTCAAAATGTGAAGTCCTTTTTGCCGAGTCAAGTTTAAATTTGTCTGTCAACTGTCAACACGAGCTTATGCCGTTTTGTGCATTTCACGAGTACAGGGTATTAAGAGCGCAGCCAGCCAATAAAGCGCCCACAAGGAAGCTTCAGCTCAGCTCAAGTTGTCTCTCCAACTCTCCGGCTCTTTACATTGAACTTGGCATTGTTCTCAGTTGCCGCTGTCGTCGTTGTGTCTGTATTCCTTTTGACGCTGCAAACCAGTATGCCATAAAAACTCGGCATATACATATATATATCATATATACATATATTCAGGTGCAAGCAGAGGTGTGTATGTGCACACATGCAGCCTGGCTGGCCCAACCCAACTGGCAGCAGAGTTACCGGAACACCTTGGTGGTCCATTAAAGATTAAGCGATTTTTGGGTTCGGCTTGGCTAGGCTTGCCTGGATTCTTTAGGAATTTCCGCTGGCTGCCTGCTGGAATGGCCAAAACCACGACCTATTTCTGCTGTCAGCCAATCACTTGCTAAAATTATCACCTTTCTTTGACTTTCTTTTTGCCCGCTGAGTGCCCCACACAGTCGCAGCCTTAACGAATTTTTAATGAATTTGCTTTGCCCAAATAACTTTTACTAGCTGCTTTTTGTTACCCGTGTCACGTTTAAAATATACATACACATACATATATGCCTTATGGGTTTTCCTTAAATGGGTTTTTCCAAATTGCCAAATGCGGGAGGAGAAGTTCTCGAGATTTTGTTAGCTGCTTGGGGCAGATTTTGCATATAGGAGGTCCTTAATATTAGAAAATTTATGTTAATTTGTTAAATATATATCGGGGGGATATGGGAAAACATAGAGCAAGTGAATATTTTCGAAAACTATTTAGTTTCCAGTGGGAAATGTTAAAATAAAAATGTTTTACATTCATTTTTAAAAAATCTTAAATGACCAATTTAAAAATATAAAATTTCTAAATAAAATATCATTATTTAACATCTAAAATTTGATGAATAATCAAAATGTGAAAATTATGCCTAAGTGAGAGTTTTTCTAATTGGACATCATCCCATTGACTTTTTATCTCCAAGTATAATATATTGCTTATTTAAAATGCCAGATTCGACATTTTTATACTCTTACTCACGTTTTTCATCGATTGTTTATGTTTAATACGTTAAGGCTCATCAATCTGCAAACCTTTGCCTTAAACCATTTATCCATGCTTTTGCCATACTCGTTCTCCGGGCCAAAACGTGTTGCTCAGTAGCCGCGTTGAAGATGATTCAAAATAAATTCCGACACTGATTCAAAGAGAAGCGGTCAGTTGGCCCAAAGCATAATACGCTTTTTTTTCGAAAAGTAGGCTAAACATATTCATACTTTGATTTTTATGGTGTCCCGTGAATGTTTTTTTTTTTTTTTTTTTTTTTTTTGTATTTTTCGTTGCTTGGAGCCGGTCTTCTCATACGCACCCGACCCTTCTGCCTTCTGAGCGTGAAAATCTCATTCATGCGTGCCAGCCTCAAGCCCCTGGGAGTTTTGTTGTTGTTCTCATTCGACTTCTTGAGTGTGACGAAGATGAACCCAACCTTTAAAACCATTTGAATATTTGCAAAACGATGCATGAGCGGAATTAAAAACTGTAAAACAAAGAAGTATTCAGTTTTTAGGTCAAAATGTTGCCATTCTGTTCATTCTGATTTGCCATTTGCATTTCTGTTTGTGTAAATAGTTTCAAATGGTAAAAATACCAACTGTTGGTGGAAATTCACATTTCCATAAATGTGTGTTAATTGGTATATTTAATGTAGCGCCAAGAACTAACAGTACTTGTTTAGCACATAATTGATGAGACGTGTTTGCCTTAGGCATAACTATAAACATTTTTTTAGAATTGCTTAGAGAAATCTTGGGCCTGCCTTTCCTCCTGCCCCGCTAAACGAAAAAAAAATGAAGCATAATGAGTAAAAGTGTCAGCGACTGTAGCTAATTATTATTATTATTATTGTTATCATTATTTCGGTTCTACTTGGGGGCAGCGAAATTTTTGTTTTATTTGCTCTTAACCTCGTTTCCACGCACGATCGCAAACCGCCAGCTTCAGCCGGACAATGGCCAAAGTACGCACGCAGCATGCGAAGTAGCCCAAAATGAAAGCTGTTGTCATCGTGTGGGAGGCAGAGAGAGAGGAAGGTAGCAATGGCAGCCGCAGCCATTGCACTTGTCTGTGTCTTTCTCTGTCACACCGCTGGCGAGCTGCTTCTAACTGTATTTCGAGCTTCAAGATACAAAAGCTGTGTTGTTGTGGTTTCTGAGTCTGAGAAAACGTGCTTTGCATGCCTAGAGAGCGAAAAAAAAAACCGCATTGAAAGTTTTGTCGCTCGGGGTTATCACGCCAAAGCGTAGAATCATGTTGTTGTCTTGGCAGCTGCATGTTAAATAAAAATAGAAAAAAAAAACGGTCTAATGGGCAACGGTTAACAAATCAAAGAAATGCTAAGAACTGTTTAGGTTGCGGCCTTTTGCAGCACTGCATTTGATTTATCGTCATTGTAATCGATTGACAAATGTAAAACAAGCACAAGCTGCAAACAACAGGTGGCCTGTAATCGATCCTGCACGAGATCTTTTGGCCAGCACAAAGGCCTTGAAAATTGTGCCAAGCAAACAACACAAACAAATAACAATTTATTTCATTTAATAGAGATTACCGGTGACTGCCATTGAGAATATGGAACTCTCTGCTTGCCGACAGCTGCCAGCGCTTATCAATAAACCAGTTTGAAGTTGTTTGCTATTTGTTTGCTGTCAATAATCTGTCGTCGCCCCATTGCGCTGCCATGCTCTAAAAAACCAATTTTCACTTGAACTTGTATCGTGTAGCTAAGAGCAGGCACAGCGCAGCCCATATTGTTTGAGCCAATTTGTGCTTTGTATTAGAATTAAATATTGTTTATTAAATGTTTACGCTTTTCCAAAAGCTGCCAGGCTAATAGGCGACAATTCAAGAGCGCGACATGTGAGTGATAGAGATAGGGAGAGAGACAGAGGAAGATGAATGTAGGTCGTTAACCTCGTTATAACGGCACCTTATATGTATGTAACAGCTCTCATATGTGCGTACCTATATATACATGTATGCTGTATGTATGTGCATATGTGTGCTCTTGATAGTTTTGCTGTTTCTTTTGCTGTAGTTTTAATTCTTATTCTTTCTAACCTGCCTACCTTGCCTGCGCGTTAAGTCACCAACAACAACACACATACACACACACACGCGTACAACATTTAGTGCGTTGCCGCTGCTGTTTTAAGTTGTTGCTGTGTTTTTTGTTGCTGTTATGTAAGCGCTCTTCTGTCGCCGCCTAATGACTGCGCATTAGTCCAAAAAGTTGAAATCGTCGTCGCCGCGAGCGCCTTCAATGTCTTTTTGATTAATGCATGATTTTACAATTTCTAACCCAATTATGAGAAGAGAAAAAAAAACGGCTTATCATAATTATAATTATTTGCATGTTTTGCTGTTCGTCCAGTCATTGGCGCGACAATTTCAATGAACTCGAAAATGACGGTGCCTCATTAGGCTTCGTCCAATCCGCTGATTGAGCTGCTGAAAGACTGAAAATCGTTTACAGACAGGTTCAAATGGCAACGTGACGCTTAGATGTGAAATTAGTTAGCTCAGCGTAGGTACTATATGTTTATTACGATTATTAAACGAAATTGTTTGGGGGGGGCCGTAAAAACAAGAAAGTTAAAAACCGGCATTGACAATAGCGCCATTAATGACGACCACAGAAGAATTTGACAAAAGGGCCAGCCAGAGTTCAGGTGAGAGTGGTCCCAGGCACTGTGAAACCCGCCGTCTGTCCAAAGTGGGCGACTTGAAGAGCAACAACAAGTTCATTAATTTCTTGTAATGAATGTGAAAAGAATTAAATAATAGAATTTCGCTTTCATTTACTTCCCACAAGCGGGCACACGCAATGGGCCATAATGAGTCCGGTTGGCACTTCAAACATTTCGTCAAATGTGCAATTGAAAAGAAAGTTAAGTTTTGTTTTGTTTTTGTGCTTTCGCACGCAACGCGGCCCGTGGGCCACAATAATAGGCATGTGCAAAGTGTACAATAAAAGAAATGTTTAAATCAATTTTAAAATACCCTCGCACTGGTATTTTTTGTTGTTGATAAACATCAAACATGTTAGTGAGGACATTGCACGTTACGACTTGTCGGAGACAGCGTTAGTCGCGTCTGAGCTTATTATCTTTTTAGCATGACATACGTGAAATGATTTTCTCAGCGGGCATCTTATTTTTTTTAACTTTTTTTTTTTTGTGGAAAAAGCAAATTATGTGCTGCTGCAATTTGATTCAATCGAAACTGGTTTTTCGGCGTTGGCCTCTTGCCTTTTTTATATTTTTTTTTTGGTCAGGCCAACACTTGATCAACAAAAATCTGCACAGAGAAAGTGAAAGAAAATACCAAATAAAAAAAAAAAAAAAGAAACAAATCAAGACAACGATACATAAAACTACGAGAAGTGGTAATAAAAAGTTCAGACCGTATTAGAAGCCAACTTTGCATGTTGTTGAAAAATGTATTAACATTTTTCTTGTTGTTGTTATTGCTGTCTGCTTTTGGCCCCGCCAATTGGAATTTCTTCTTTTGTTTTTACTTTCACGTACGGTTTATGGGGGCGATTGCGGTTGCCGTGATTATTTATGAATTCTACTAATTTGCTTAGTATCCACAAAAGTTAAAGCGGGTCAAGACTGGCATTGCCTGCCTTCGTTTTCGAGAAAATAGAAACTTTTTTTTTATTGAGCTTCAGGAACGTTAATAAGAAAACTAACGAGCATATTACTTATGTATATGTTCGTATTCGTGTAAATACTATAATTTGAAATGTTATAATCAATACTAGACAGAAAGCATTGTGCATTTGTATGCCGATATACAGGTGTAGAGTTTATTGGTCATGTTGAATTTGTTACAGGGCATATTTTAGTCGAGCACTTCTGAATATTGTGCCTATGCTGCATGACGCAGCAATTTTTAGCCTGACACTTATTGGCATGTTCGCTGTAACCGTTATAAGTACAGGCTTGTCTCCTAAAATATCGATAATATTTGAATATGCATTCATTTGTATGTTTTTTTTTTCACTTCCCAGCATCTAACGGCACTCTGCGTCATCAGCATTGCACTCACATGCGCCAATGCGGCGTTGTGGCCCAGCTTCAGTAGCAGCAGCAGCAGCAGCGCAGATGATGCGCCGCCCAGCAAATGCGCCGGTGCGCGTGGATTGAAATATTTGTCTGGTGATGCGTTGACAGACTCACCAGACTGCCTGGGTCCAAATAATGCGCCATATCCCAGGTATGTGTCTGTGTGTGTGACTCATTACGCTTTGACACAATGCTAAACTTTCTTTTCTAACGCCTCTGCTCGTCTATCGATTGCAGCGCGGCCGTTGCTCGCACATTCTCCAATTGGAACGGAAATTCGCGACGTGGACGTCAGAGCAAATTGCCCAGCACACTGGATCCAGCAATAACCACAAGTGCATTGTTGAGGGCCTACGATGAGGTGAACAATGAGGCTATCGGAAGCAATCGTTATGGTAAGTCGGTCAGCCGCAAATGCTAATGATGGTGTGGCCGCAATTGATTGAATGATTGATTGATTGCTTGACTCTCCGTTGATTCGCAGGTCGTTCATTAAAGAACGCTACGCCGGCGCAACAGTGCAAGAGCGATACGCCGGCGCGACTGTGCAAGACGCGCTACAATACAACTGCGCCCATGTATGGCGTTAGCTTGACCTCGGGTCAGCCCGTGACCATTGTGCAAAAGTTTCCCGATCTATTGCAACAGGTGGTTTTTGAGGTGTGCGAGTGAGTATTCTAAACCCGTCAACGTGTATAAAATGTATGTACATATGTGAGTGTCGGTATGAGCTGCCATAATTATTATTCGGTGCTGCCAGACTGATGAATTTTGATGTCATTTTTATAGCACACTTTAATAGTTCATATAGCTTTTGGTGAGCTTATAAACGCACATATTGCATACATTTAAATATACTGAGCCCATAAACATAAATTCTTATTAATCAATAATGTTAAATTCTTTGGTATAGATCCTCAGAATGCGATGTGGTGCGTGGCGAGTGCACGCAGACGTATGTGCCTTATTTGTTCCTGGTTATACCTCTGGGCCCAGTAACGCTTACTGGCCAGGATTATGTGCTCGTTGAGAGCGGATGTGTCTGTAAGCCAAAATACTCGACGGGTGCCGCTCAGGAGCCTAACATGATACCGTAAATGCATGAAAGTGTTGTCACACTGGTATACAACAGCAACCAAAAGAACTGAGCGAGTTTATAGGGTGGAGCGGCAAAATTTACTTAAATCTGGAATTATTTTTTGTAGCAAAATCATATTTTTAATGTTATTTATTCGTTTTTCGTTTGCCTCTATTTATCTCTCCCTATCGCTGTTTAAATGAAATAGGCTTTTGCTCGAAAAATAATGCTAAAATTAAGTTTTTAATTAAAGTAATGCATTTAAATTAATTAACATTAATATCAAGGAACATCAGCTGCCGAACAAATTATTAGATTTGTGGTATGAAAGAGACAAATGAAAAACACGCACATGGCAAAACAAACTTAGTTATACTTACATATAATAATTTAATTATAACAAGCCTTTTTAACGTTTTGTTAAAATGTATGTGTATTTACTAATTTAAAAAAAAATAAATTATTTCAAATAAACAATCGCTTATGCTGCGACGATTTTTATTCAGTTCAATAGGCACGTATCGATGATTAACGTGTCAAGTGCAATATTTAAAATTGCAACCTAAAATACAATCAAGTGCGGTAATTTGGCCATCCTTAAATAAGTTTTCGTGTTGAATATCGCTTGCAAAAAAACATGGCTATCGATACGATTTGTGTAAAGTGCATGCGCTGCCGCTACAACTATCGTCTCATCACTTGCTTGCCATGTATCGTTTTGTGTCGTGCCAGCTCTAGCTACACGCATAAATTTTTAGCGAAAATTTAGAAAACGAGCAACTAAAAATCGGCAAAAGAGCAGCAAGTGCAATTTCGCGCATAGTTTAATAGTTGCATTGTGTAATTACACTTATTATAAAGGTGTTTTTTGTGCATTTAGCGCCGCATACTTCGTCGCTTCGCACTCGCACTAACACAAACGCGCTGAGTGTTTTGCGTGTGTGTGTGTGTGTTTGTGTATGTGTGTGTTGAGTGTGTATAGGTGACAATTTTGTTGCGTGGTGCCGGGTTACAGTTACAATATTACAGAATTTTGTTGATCAGCGAGCGCGCGCATTAATTGTGGCATGAAATAAAAACATCGCAAATAAGCCGGCCCAGTTGAAACCACGTAACGCTAGCGAGTCCAAAAGCGTTCATCTTCAAAATGATGTTCACGGTACGTTGTTGTTACGCCTTATACGCTGCGGGTTGCCCATAATGCGGCCAACGGACAATCGATAAACGGCGCTGCAAAACTGCACACCAAGAGAGCTGAACAAACATGAGAGACTGTTTTCATGATCAGCCGCAGCGTTGTTGCGTTCGTTATGTTGTTCTATGCAATCTCTCCGCTCTTTGCGTCTCTTTTTACTCAAGCAAGGCTTTGCCAAAGCTCTGGGGGCACGCGCATGTACATATGAATAAAATGAGCAGTACACAGTTGAGCATAATTTTGTTCTCTCTCTATAATCGCCTCTATGCTGCCCAAAATACATAAAAATTGCTCTCCATCATGTCTGCATTCGTAAAACTATTAAAAATGTGGGATTTATTTAAACAAATTAAGTTCCGTGTCCTTATGTTATCTGTTTTTGTTTTTTAGGGCACCAACCAGCAGCAGGACACGCGCTTTAGCGACAAGGAAAAGAAGCTAATGAAGCAAATGAAGTTCGGTGATTGCCTCAACAAGCGCGTGGACATGTCCAAAGTGAAGCTAGATGTGCTGCGACCTTGGATAAGCAAAAAAATCACCGATATCCTGCACATCGAGGACGATGTCGTCGTTGAGTTTGTCTACAATCAGCTGGAGGAGGAGAAATATCCGTGCCCCAAAAAAATGCAAATTAATATGACCGGCTTTCTTAACGGACGCAATGCGCGCCAATTTATGGGTGAACTTTGGGCGCTGCTGCTCTCGGCACAGGAGAGCGACAGCGGCATACCCGCAGAATTTATACAGCAGAAAAAGGACGAGATACTCAAGCGCGAGGAGGAGCAACAAAAGCAGCGCCAGCAGCAGCGTCAACGTGATTTATCACGTTCTCGTTCCCGCTCACGATCCCCGTCGCGCTCACGGGACAAGCAGCGACGTCACGACAGATCCAAGTCGCGTTCCCGCAGTCGCTCAGCCCCTAAAATCGTGGCCACGTCCAACAATGGAAGCGCCGTGGGTCCCATCAACAGTGCAGCACGCGAAGCGGCCGCAAACGCAGCGGCACGTCTACGCAAACGCGGTGGTGGCTCGCCCGGTGCAGCAGGCGGGACATCAAACGCAGCGGCGTCGGCGGGCGGTGGACGCGGCGCGTCCAGAGAACGTCGTACAAGTCGCCGCCGCTCACATTCCCGCTCACGATCCAACCGCTCAGCGCAACGAGCAGCCTCAACGGATGCTGGTGGCACTGCCAAGACCCTAAATGGACGTCACTCCATACAGAAGTCCTCGCCTGCAGCAGCGCCCAAATCCAAATCAAAGGCCAAATCGCGCTCACGTTCGCATTCGCGTTCATCGCGCAGTCGCACCAGGTATTAAATCACAATCAAAGCTAGAAAGGGATGTTGATATCTTGCAGGTGGATCTTTAATTCGTTTTATTTACAAACTGGGGCTATCAAAGATAAGCATATATTTTCAGAAAGCAAATCAATTCTGGGCTAGTCGGGGCATTAAGATATATGTCAGCTTGTTTCTAGATGTGATTGGATTGTAGACCTGATTCTATGAGGATATATTAAGCGTGCAAAGGGCATTGCAATTAAGTTATATCTTCATACTTTAATACTGATAGTATTTGTTATAGTCAAAGTGAAAAGTGTATTCTGTTAGACCTAAAAGAACATTAATCAATTTGCTTAAGCTTAGTTTTGACTGATTTGGTCTATTTGAATTCGAATAGAAAACTATTTCGTTTAAAGTTCCATTTTCTTTGTATCGAAGATGCAATCTTACAAAATGTCATGAATAATCAAGCGATTTATCGATACAGTTGTTGCTAGAAATAATTTGATTCATATTATCATTCCTTAAATTCGATACTGCAGTCATGGATTTACTTAGATATCAACATCCCAATAATTGCTTATCACCGATAACAATTGAAAATGTTGCCTTTTGCTTTTCCAGATCCCGCAGCGGAGGTAAAGGCTCGCCAGCGGCGCGTTCTCGTTCGCGCAGCTCCTCGCGCTCGTCGGCTCGCAGCAATCGACGTCGGCGTAGCTCACGTTCTCGGGCCAGCAGCATCTCGCTATCACCAGAACGCCAGCAGGATCATCAGTTTGAGCATCGACGCAATAAGAACAGCGTTCAGAATAAGCGACAATATCGCAATAATCGTGACGGTTCCGCCAGCTCCATTGAGCGTGGCGATGGTCGTGCCAGGCAATTCGGTGGCGGTGGCGGTGGAAGACGACCACCGCCTCATGGTAGACGCTTCTCGCCACGCGGACGCAGTCCAATGCGTCAGGATAATGGCGGCGGTGGCGGACGCTTTCAGCGTTCCAATTCACGACGTCGCTCGCGCTCCCGCATGCTCTCCAGATCGCCCATGCGCTACTCCAGGTCACCCAGGCGGTAAGAATATCTCTTATCTGTTATTTTATATTGTAAATAGCAAATATTTAACTTTGCTGTCGGGCTTATCCTGGGCATCTGTTCCCAGTAAAGCTCCTGATCTGCAGTCCGTCTGAATAAACGTTTCGATTTTTATAGACAATTAGAATCAAATATGCCTAATTACAAATAATTGAATATATATTAGATAATATTAATTATTATTATAATCCGTAGCAGCATTAAATACCTGTTTTTTAAACCCTCGAAATTTGAAACGAATAGAAGACATCTTTTTCTGCACTAAGTGTATATATAGCTGTATATAATAAAGATAGATAGAAAGTTAGGCTCTTATTTAATAATCAATCCTTATGGATTTCCGGAATTTAAGATATCTTGACCAAACCATCATTTATTAGGTTTACCTAAGAATCCAATACTCCTCGTCATATCCTTAGCTTTACAAGGGTATTAAATGTTCGGCGTACCGTTTTCCTTGTTCCTTGTTGAGCTCTTAACATTTCGACTGGTCATAATCTATTAGATATAACTTTTGACATCGTTGTCATTAAGTCTATCGCCTTGTCAAAATGTGTACTCAGAGGAAGACAAGATATATGTACTCGATACTGCCTACTGTCTACGTGACAAATAAATATACATCTGTTTTTGATATTTAGCAATTGTTACTAAATGAATTGTTATTCGCATTTTCCTTTAAACAGTTTTAACAATCGCCGTCGCTCGCCGCAGATGCATTTTCGCGGTGGCGGTGGTGGACGCGGCCGCGGTGGCGGCAACCATCGCAACATGTGGCAGCAACAATATCGCGGAGGCAGTCCCAATCAGCGCGGCGGCGGACGCATACACTGGCAGGCCAGGCACAACAGTCCCAATGGTGGGCGACGCTTCGATCGCCGCCAGTCACCGCCGAGTGGTGGTGGTCAACATCGTTACTCACGCGACCGCCGCGGATCGCCTGGCGCTCAGGGCAATCAGCAGCAGGGACAACAGTTCCGCAAGCAGTTCTCGCCAGGCCGAGGTCGCTTTGACCGACGTGGCTCGCCGCAGGGCAACTTCAATCGCTGGGATCAGAATCATCCCGACCAGCGTCAACCGATGCCGGCGTTGCGCAATCAACAGCAGCAGCAACGCATACGACGCTCCAGTTCCGGCAGTGCTAGTCCGGCCGCGCGTCGTCAGCAGCAGCGCAGTGTCAGTCCATTGCCCAGAAATCGCAGTCGCAGCCGCAGTCGCTCCAGCGTACGTCCTACGAAACGCAGTCGCAGCCGTAGTCGCAGTCCGCATAGTCGCAGTCGTTCTACCTCGCGACAGCGGCCGCAGCCGCAGCAGCAGCGCCGACGTGCCAGTCCCGCTGCAGTGCGTCGGTCCGTTGAGTTTGCCGGTCCCTCGGTCAACACCATTGATCTCTGCCGCGAAGAGCCGCCGCCTCTGCCGACCACAGAGCAGCAGCCACAGCGCAAATTGGAGTCACAGCAACAGCCGCTGCCGCAACCGCCGCAGGCGCTGTCGCAGCCGCTGTCGCAGCCGCCGTCACAGCAGCCAACGCAGCCAGCGCGCCGTAGCTTTGCCAGCCTTTCGCGCACACCATCGCCGTTCCTTAAATCGCATGAGCGCAGCGTCGTTAGCGCTAGCGCAGCCGCAGCACCAAAGAAAGCTCGCGACAACAGTCAAAGCAGCAGCTCGGATAGCAGCGCCGAGGACAGCGATGACAGCGATGATGAGGATCAGCAGCCGCCGAAGAAACGTCATCAATCGCGTCGCTCGGCGCCAGGCGGCAAGAGCCAAAACGCTAAAGCTAAAGCTTCGGCGACGGAGCCGAGAGCCAAGAGCTCTAGCAAGGCTAAAGTGTCGCGCAGCTCGGCCAGCAGCAGCAGCAGTGAGCACAGCGACGACAGCAGCGATGACAGACACAAGAAGAAGTCGCAGCCGAAGCGCAAGGCGGAAACGACAGCAAGCAGAGGCGAGAAGGAAAAGCAGCGTCGAAGCGGGGACAAGAAACTGCAGCGCAGCACGTCCAGCGAGGCGGTGCCGCCAGAGGCATTGGTGGAGAAGCAAAGAAGCTTGGACCGGAGCCGCAAGCGAAGTCATAAAAAGTCACGCCGAGATGGCAGCGGCGTCGGCGGCGGAGGTGGCGATGCAAGCGAGTCTGAGGAAGAACGTCTGCCCAAAAAGAAACGCAAGAAGTCAAAGAAAGCAGCAGAAACTAGCGACAGCGACTCTGCATCGGACGCTGAGTCGTCGTCCAAGAAGAAGAAACACAAGAAACATAAGAAGCACAGCAAGAAAAGCAAGAAGCATAAGAAGCATAAGCGAAAGAGCAGCAGCAGCGCCAAGCATCGGCAAGAGAGCAGCTCCCAGAGCAGCGCTGATGACGATGAGGAGCTCTCCACGAGGGCTGGCAAACGGAATGGCAAGCTGCCGCTGATGCTCACTGGTGGCCCTGGCATCAATGAGGATTTGGAGAAGCAGCTGCGCGAGCGTGCATTGAAATCCATGAAAAAGTTGGACTGAGCAACAGCAGACGGCTACAATAAACTGACTAAATTAAACGGAAGATGAAGACGAAGGAATATAAACGTTAACACAATGCGACCCCTCATACAAATATAAATACATATGCATACGACACCCTGACATTCAGACGGACATGCGTAGCCATTTAATCACTAACGTAACATTCATATTTGCATACATTAATTAATATTTCTAACAACTTATTTCATACGTTTAAGTCACATTGCGCGTCGAAACCTATTATAACAAGAATTCGTGCATGATAAATACAATTTGTATTATGTACAAAAACAAGAAATTTCTCAACAAAAAAAAAAAACAAACAAAATATTACAATAACAAATAAAAAGCCGTTGTGCTTTTACAAAAAAAAAAAACAAAAACCCAAAAAAAAAACAAATCAAACTAAAGAAAAGTTTGGTAATTATGCAAGTTGCTACAGTTATTAGGCAACAATGTTTGCTTAGAACACTACCGTTTAATGTCTAAGTAGGTTTTACAGAATGTAATTAATGATACCTAAAACGAATATTATGTGCGTTTGAAAGCATTATTGATTAACATATATATAAAGAAAAAAAATAAACAATTGTAAAAGTAATAATTAATTATTTTAAATTTCAAATTTTAGCGCGCTGCGTGCAACTCTAAGCAGCTAAAACTATTGACAGTACTAGTTTGTGGTGCTTCGGTCACACTGAAATGAACAAGCTGGCAACGCTGCGAGCAGCTGTCAAATGCTTTGACAGCTCACCAACTTCCTTTCCTTTTTTACGTATCGTACGAGATGGTAAGGCTGAAAATATAAATGGAATATAAATACACTGCCATCGACGCGCAATACAAACAAAAATCCAGTGAAATGTAATGCAAATTACGCTGTAAACTATGAAATTGCTGATTCTGTGAGCATTTATGTGAACGTGCGTGTGTTTAAATGACAAACTTTGGAGTTTTTGTTTGTTGTTGCAGTCGTTTGCTTGAAATCCGTTGAATTGATTGATACCTGGTTTGTGTGCATTATTTTTGTAGGCTCGTGGACCTAAGAAACATTTGAAGCGTTTAGCCGCACCAAAGGCATGGATGTTGGACAAATTGGGCGGTGTTTTCGCTCCACGTCCCTCAACCGGTCCACACAAGCTGCGCGAGTCGCTGCCGCTGTTGATCTTCCTGAGAAATCGTCTAAAGTACGCTCTCAACGGCGCCGAGGTGACCAAAATTGTCATGCAGCGCCTCATCAAGGTTGACGGCAAGGTGCGCACGGATCCCACCTACCCAGCCGGCTTCATGGGTAAGTCAAGTCACACTCGGCCCTACGATCCAGTTCTTAATCGTTTATAATTCATATGATAGATGTCATCACCATTGAGAAGACTGGTGAGTTCTTCCGTCTGGTCTATGATGTGAAGGGACGTTTCACCATTCATCGCATTTCCGCTGAGGAGGCCAAGGTAAGTTCCAATGAAAGATCTGTTCGCATACGCCGGGCTTTATCGAAGACCGTTTAGCGTTTTCCAGTACGCCAATTGGTTCAAAATGAAGCCCATAGCAATTTTTGTTACGACGGTCTCTGAACTGTGCATATTGCCAGCCGTTTCAGTAACTTTTACGTGCAATTACAAATCAACCAAGAAATTATTAGCTTAAATCTATTTGTAGAATTTTCTATTCTAAATTCGTTTTATTTTCATTGCAGTACAAGCTGTGCAAGGTGCGCAAGACACAATTGGGTGCCAAGGGCGTGCCATTCCTGGTGACGCACGATGGCCGCACCATCCGCTATCCCGATCCTCTGGTGCATGCCAACGATACCGTGCAGGTGGACATTGCCACCGGCAAGATCACCGACTACATCAAGTTCGATTCGGGTAGGTGCATCAATTAAACGTTAAACTTGGCTGGTTCGAAGACCACAAAACGTTTTCTATTAAGTTGCGTGGTTCAAATACAAAGCCAATAGCAATTTTTGATACGACGGTCTCTGATTTGTGCATTTAGCCAGCAATTTCAGTAACTTTGACGTGCAATTACATTTACAATAGTTAAGATAATATCAAGCTATAAGTGTAACAAAAAAATATCTTATTCCGATTCACAGGCAACCTCTGCATGATCACTGGAGGTAGGAATTTGGGACGTGTTGGCACCGTTGTCAACCGCGAGCGTCATCCCGGCTCCTTCGATATTGTGCACATTAAGGATTCGCAGGGTCATGTGTTTGCCACTCGTTTGACCAACGTGTTCATCATTGGCAAGGGCAACAAGCCTTACATCTCGCTGCCAAAGGGCAAGGGTGTTAAGCTGAGCATCTCGGAGGAGCGCGACAAGCGTTTGGCCGCCAAGACCCACTAAATAACATGCCAGCCGGACAGCAGCAGCAGCAGATTAGGGGACAAGAGTAATGAGGATTTTTACCTTTTAGCATAACTCTGTACGTTAGAGCTACGGAATTACAAAACAACGTAAACAAAATCATTCGTTTGTTTTTTTTAACCCACGTGTGGATAAGAGATTCCAATATAAACTAGAACCTCTCGTGGTATAAGGATTATTTAGGTGTTCATGATGGGCATGAGAAATCGTTATCGATATAAGGTGAAAGAGCAGCACATGAGATCTAAAAACGGTCTTGCATGAGTACGGATCGCCCGCCCAACGTTGACAACATCTAATTTACCTCAAGAACATTAACTTCATTGGAATCATTTAGAAATGAGCTTAAAAAGAGAATATTTAAGGAATACCATTAACTATTAGGAGGGGGTAAGTTTCGCGCGCCAATTTTTGCTTATCAATGTTCAGTGCTGTCTAATTTTTTCTGTGTGTAGGGCTGCAAAGCTTCGATAAATACGCTAATGCGTGTCGCAATTATCGATAGCAAGTTCTGTCTTTGTGTGTAGTGCAGTGAAAGGCTTGCGCACTGGGCAAATTAGTTAAAAAGAAACTGGAAATCAACTCGCCCACTGAAGTAAATCCTAGGTAACTTATACTAATAATTGGAAGCCATATAGCTGCTGGCACCCAAAGGCAAAGTCAGACCATCTGTACGTGTGTAAACTGTCTGTGCGTGTGCGTGTGTGTGTGTGTTTTGGTATTGCTGTGAGCCCGCATACACACACATGCCTTCATATATACACACCAGTACATATGTTAGCATGTCTGATAAACTCTCTGTTGAAGTGAATCATTTGTTTGGCTCCAGTTCGAGTTTGTTTGTTTGTGTAATGCGAAGCGCATTAGTTTGTAGATAGTTGCGGTCTTTGTGCCCTCACATAGCTAAAGTAAAGCACTCTACATTCGCAGACAGTCGCGTCATAGAACCCAACGACCACGCACCACCCACAAAAAACAACGAAGAAACACCAAAGACAGTTTTGTACAACCGACACAGAGTGCTAGAGTGACCAGGCTAGCACACACATACATACCGACATACACATAGTACAAGAGTGACCAGACAGCAATAATCATGGCGCAGGCATTGAACAATCCAGCCGGTGGCACGCATCGCGATTATGGTGCTACATCCAGTGCCACGCCCGAGGTGAGCTTTGCCGCTGCCTCCAGTGGCAATTCCGGCTTCAGTCCCACAGAGTTCGTGTCGCTGAGCGAGGATATTGGCCACAATATCACATCGATACACAGCAGCACCAAGCAGCTGGAGAAGCAACTAAAACTCATAGGCACTGCCAAGGATTTGTCGGCATTGCGCGAGAAGATACACAGCATTAATACGAAGAGCAATGCGCGCGTCCAGACCACCAGTCAGGATTTGCAGCGGCTGCAGGCGGTGGTGCGTCATGGTGATCGCCAGCAGAAGCTGCAGCTGGACAAGCTCACCCAAGGATTTCAAGACGTTGTCGAGAAATACTCAATGCTGCAGAAGCGCATATCGCAGGCAACGCGACAGAGCTATCAGTTGGCCGCCGAGGCTGAGCGTGAGTCTGTCATGTCGGCCAGAACGGAGCTGCTGCAGCAGCAGCGCCAGGATCAGAACGAACTGGAGCAGCAGCATTCTATGCTCGTCGAGCGTCAGCGCCAAGTTGAACTAATTGAGGCCGATATACTCGATGTAAATGCCATTATGAACAAGCTAAGTACTATGGTGGTTGAGCAGCGAGCGGTGGTGGGTGAGTACAAAATTGCATTACTTTCAAAATACGATATTGATAATGGAGCTCTATATCGTATATCGGCGAAATTTAAATAATGTTCGATAACAGTTGTGCAGCTGATCGATAAGACGTCGATAATTTGTCTTAAATCAAATAGGGGAATATCATTATCGTATCGAAACATCATTAATACAGATTTCAAATATTGAATACACAATTAAATATCATTCCATATCGCAGATAACATGGAAACGCTTATTGATCGGACGGCCGCTGACGTGGAGGAGGGACGCAGTGAGCTGCAAAAGGCGGCTGCCAGTCGTAATAGCCACCGCCGTAAGATATTGATACTTTTAGTGATTGCTGTGATAATAGGATTAGTTGTAACTGGCATTATAGTCGGCAAATTGAGTTAATTGTTTTATAGATATATCTATATATATATGTATATGTGTGTGTGTGTGTATATATATCTATATACATATATATACATTGCCTACAGACACATAAAATAATTAACTAAAGTTTTGTAAAACTATTTTTATAAAAAATAATGCATTAATCACAAAGTGAGTAAACGCGCGCGCCAAGCGAGCAAAGACAAAACAGCAAAAATTAAATACAAAATACGAGTTTATATCCGAAACGCGTTGTAGATTGTAGTTATGTGTATGAACAACAAAAATTATAAATATAAATTTAAATATATGTAAAAGAAAAAGAACAGTTTAAAATAACACAATAACAATTTAAAATATTCAACGCTTTTAAATGTTAAATTATTTCCTGTTAAACAAAATATCAAAACAATAATTTGCGTATTGCATTGAATGTACAATTTGTTTTTGTAGTTAAGCGATTAAATAATATACTACGTTGAATAAACTCGGTTGATTGCTTATCGGTCTATATGCTTAAGACATTAAAAGATACATTTATATAATCTGATTGATTTGATATATACATTTAATTAACCAAAGCCATTTATCTCGTAGTCCGAATTTAAATAAAAGCGCGATGATTAAAAACATGAGGAGCACTGTTGTGGAGTAAATTAATGCAAGGGTTCATGTTATTACATTAACAGCTCTTTTTGCGTTAACTAATATTAAGAATAATTATCGACCGACCTCCACAAACTATCGGGCGTCAGCTGTTAGAAACGTGCTTTTGTTTGCAAGAACTTAAATTGCTTATATTTAGTTTATTAGTACTATAAAAATGCCACAAGGTAAATTTAAAAAAGCCAAATTACCTGCTGCCATACAGAACAAGAAGAAGCAGCAGAAACAAGCAGCCTTTACACGCAGAGCAAGTGAGTAGCGCACTTTGGCAACAGGTTGCAATTGCTTACATGCGGCATTTTCATATTTCTTGCAGATGCTCCTATACAAGCCAAGAAGGGAAAATTTAACGAGACCCAGAAAATCAAGGCGGTCATTTCCAAATCTGTTAACAAAAGTGTCGAAAGCGAGCTGCGTTCGCGTGCACACGAAGGATACATACAGCTAAGCAAAGCCCAAGAAGCGGTCGCCAAGCATCATTCGACGCAGGCCGCAGCCGCGGCAGCGGCAGCGACAGCCGCCAGCATGGACAAAGCGCGGGAATAGTCTTATATGAAAAACAGGTACAAAGGATGCTTATATTCATTCTATAGCCAGAGTTAAACGATAAGGCCAATCAGTCCGCATTTATGGTCCGTCTTTTCTCAATTAACCAGCTAGTTGCCATTCAAAAACGCATTTCATGAATGAAAACGCTTTTGTGTTTTAAGATATATTGAACAAACTTAGTGATATTTTGTTATATAGACTATTATTGTCATCGGACTACGATATCATAGGAGAGAAATCGATTCAAAGTTGAATCCATAGATTAACTGAGTATATAATCTTTCGAGTGTTGTCTTTTTTCATGACTGCCATTGAAATGAGCTTTGTCCGTTTATTATCTTCTTCAGGCAGATATGGGTGGATCAACTTGGTATTGCTAGGTAATACATATGCTTTAAAGAGCTGCTGTTTTATAGGCCAAATTGTTTTATACTCTTTCTATACTCATTTCCAATTGGGTGCAGAATGCAAAAAGGAATGCAGTGGGCTGCATCCCATCAAACTCGATTTCAAACACCGAGTGGTGTTGTAATTGCAGGCTGAGTGTAGTTCATTTGCATGCTGTTGAATATGCAAAGGACACTTCAATTTTCGCAGCATAAAACTAAAAACGTAAAACGTTCAAAAACCCGCCGCATCCACCTGCGCACCTGGTCCGCACACCTGGGCGCTGTCGCCGTGTGAGCTAGCGCTCATTTGCATGCGATTGACTGGGGAGTGGAAGGGCGTGAGGGATGGAATCAAAGTGCAATACGAATCAGCATAGAAAAACAAAGACAACAACCAATTGACAGCGGATTTTTGCGTTATTCCATGCGGGGAGAGGGCTAATTAAAAGCGCATCAAAAGCGCCAAATTTGCATAGCAAACGAAACGAAACGTTGCAAAAATTAAATAAAAATTTGTTAGTTTCCCAATTTCTTTTTTTTTTTTTTTTTTTTTTTTTTTTTTTTTTTTTTTTTGCATTTCTCCTTTACTTTTCACTTTTCATTCTGCCAATGCCGAAAAAGTTTGTTTTGATGAGCTGAGAACGGGTGTGGAGTTTGGGGCAAGCAACACGCCCAATAAATGTCAGCGCACAAAACTTTGTTGCCAAACTATTTTTATAATTAAACAAACACAAACTAATTGCGATAAGTAGCAAAATGACTTGGCAATTTGTGAAACATTCCTTCTGCAGCCTGCGGCTCATAAATTACCCAAATGTCAAAGTTACATGTTGCAGGCGCATGTTGTTGTCGTTGTAGTTATTGTTGTAACGGTTGATCAAAATTAAAAATATTTTGGAAAAATGTTTGGTTTTTTAGTAAATCTGAACAACGTCTTGATCTTGATCTCTGCGTAAACTAAACAACATATTCTTGCATCTTGATGTCAGACAAAGTCGTTCCGGTCGGACCAATAAACTATATGTGTTGACATAGGAACCATAATTTTATTAAGTGAAGAAACTCACATTCGTAAAAACGAAATGTACAAACAGTTATTTTACGTATTATGAAGAATGTACCATTTAATCCAATCAGACTCTGGTGACATACCCAAAAATTTCATTTATTATTCCCCTCCAAAAGGTGTCTGTTAACTTCTTTCTTAACTTTAATATATCAGCAAGTGTTTCCCTTATAAGTTCCTGATTTTGCTTGATGTGTAGCTCCGCAATAAACCCAACTTTTTCACATTTATTCATTATTTCATATAACTTGAGAAAGTCCTTGTTTTGGTATAGGGTACCATTTTGAATTTCCTTAGCGATGATATCCACAAGTTGACAGGCACTCGACCGGATTGTTACTGTGAGTTCATTTGAATTGTCTTGGAGATCCAGTGGAGCCATCCATGCTGATCTTATTCTCTTCTTATAGCTCATAGCAAAATCATTATTTTTGTCTTCTAAGATTGCCCATGTGGTTCTAAAGAGGAAGATACTGGGATATTTTAGGTCAATTGGATTATCTTTCATATTCCAGACAAAAGGTATTGCTTTATAACAATTCTCCAGACATGTCTCAACTACATCTTTTTTCGCTGTGTTAGGTTTGTTCAAATTTTGGCCAGAAATGGACGCATCTAGTTTATCAACAACAGCACGTATAAATGTCAGTTCGTCTATTTGCTCTTTGTCATCCAAATCCATTCACATTTTCCCGGATGTCTTGACGTTCATTATGTTCTCTGAAATGTTTAGTTTTTTGAATTCTTTGCTCAGTCCATCCAAGTTTGTTGACACAACAAACAAATTTTAAATTAAGGAATATCTTATGAGCCAGGCTATTCATGATTTTTTCCCATTTGGTCAAGATATCTCGTCGTAATAACAAGTTTGCCCACCCTTCTCACTTATCACATACATAAGTCTATATAATCGGGCTGTTATAATTTATGGCTCCTATGGGTCGCGAATAAAGTTTTTATTTAAAAGCACTTTTAAGCTAATCTGAACTATATGTGTAAATCGAATTAGGTGATACTTTTAGTCTGGAAGCGTGGGTAGAAGTAGAGATATTAAGCGAGAGTATTCTATATTGTATATGTAGGTCAAAAGTTCTACATAAAACGTCAGTTCGCGTATCTGAAGGAAAAGGAAAAGCTTTTGCAATCAACAGATTGAATCCGCTTATGGCACCAATTGTAAATCTTCTACCAAATTGAAAATCTGACGCACTGGATTATCTTCCAGAAATTTTAAGCGAAAATGTAATTCACATTTTGCGTTTTGCATTACAATTGATGGATACTGCATTTGGGTAGCTGTTTGATTGATTTACTTCTGCTGTGCTCTCTCACAAGGCTTAAAGTCTGCACTTTAAAATAATAGGACACCCATGTACACAGCTGTGCCCAGGCGTTTGTCACACATCAGGACAAAGGATAATGAGCATTACAAAAGCGGAAATCACACGACCAAACATCCTTTACAAGTTTTTTTTTTCATTTAAAATATATTTGCCCGCTACGCTTTACACCCGAATGTGTGCCTTGAGCAGGCAGCACAACAACAACAAAAATGAAATGGAATAAATGTGGAAAAAAAAAACTATTTGAATATCGACGTGTGGCCATTGTCCACTGTGCCCAGTCTGGAATGTACAGCCGGGCCTACCTGCGGCTGCCTCATTGTGTGCGAGGCGCGCATGTAAATTTGTCCAACTGGATGCAAAGACAAACACTTGAAACGTTGAAAGGACAAATGGACAAACGGCCGCCAGTTTGTGGCCACCTGCGGCATTTATTATTATATTTTTTCTCTTTCTGTTTTTGCATACAATCGCGACTGGGCCAAGATATGTGTGTCTGTGTGTGTGTGTGTCGGAAATTTGATTTATTTGACAATGGCAACGGCATTTAAATGCAGTTTTTCGGTTAAGGCCAACATTAAATTTGTACTTTTTCCTATTCTATTTTGTAGTTCATTTCATGTAAATGTGTGCCCCGAAAATAAGCTGTCTGACGGACTCTAGCCTAAAAGTGAAGCGGCTGAGAAGGGATGCTGCCTGAACGGATGGCCTTAAAAAGTGCCCATTGAGAAGATTTCGAATTGGGCTGCAGTTGATTTTATTATTTTTTTAGATATCTATTTAGAATTATCTTCACATTCTGTTTATTTTCACACATTTTGAATTCACACTCCCATACAGTTTGCCTCAGTTTAAATTGTTCGTTTTAATTACTTTCACATTGGTCCTTTCTGTGAAATGTATATGCCAAGGCATTTAAAATGCACGCTTAGCCATTGTTTAAATTTTAATACATATATGTTTTATGTAGCGCAACGGCGTTGATATCAAATTGTATCTACAACTTCAATTTAATTATAAGCCACGCACGGCTCATCAAAAAATTCTGCAGCAACCGTGTTGCAGGTGCAAATGCAGAACTTTACAGTCCGCATCGTCGTCGTCGTCGTCGCCACTCGCTAGCCGTCAGTCCTGAGCGATCCCAGCACATTTTCGGTTCCACATTATTATTATCCACGCTTTGTGGCCCGGCCTCGGTCCCCGTTGCCGTCTCCGTATCCATTCCCCTACCGCTTTGGTCTGGTCAGGCTGGTCGACTTCGCCGCTTATTGAACGGCTCGACCGCGCTACAATTCATTTGCAAAGCGTATCCAAAAATGTTGATGGGATTATTATATGTTGCTGTTGAATGTTGGACTGCAGGTGGAATCCCAATATACCTGTGTGAGTGTGTGCGTGTGTGCAGGTCTTTATCTTTTTAATGTCGTGGATTGCTTTGTGTTTTGCTTAAAGCATTAATTTATGTATTAAAAGTTAGAAATCCGTGTGGACAGGTGAATTTCAGTGCCCCTGCGTATTGTATACATGCATATTTCTGTGGCAGTCATGCTACAAATATATAATTTCGTATTGCTGCCAGTGAAATTGTTGATTAAGTATGGAGTTGGTAATTTAAGGACAGGTGAGGCATGTTCAAGCGAACGACGCCTGGGCATTCCTAAAGCGCGAGTGTGGGAAATAATCTTAGAAATTCATGATGTTATTACTAGAAGTCCAGTCAATAAAATTGACTTTTAAATAACTTCACACATATTGTTTTAATAAATATTGTTCAATCTTTTAAACTTTCAATCTATAAATTGTATTCTCTACCCACAACACAGCTTAGATATTATTTTGTTATTTCTTGGGGTTGTGCCTTGAGTTCATAAAATAACTTACAATTTTCTAAATTTGTGTTGCCCAAACCAATCAGTAAACTCTAGTATTGAAGAGCTCACATATATGTTTTTAACTTCCGCCGGCTGCAAATTTAAACAAAAAATCGGAAGAAAAAAATCTGCTGGAAAAAGCGCGCACCGGATGTAAATGGGGCCCAGCTGCATGCCAAAATGCAATTGTCATCAATACGACGGCAACAACAATAACAGCAAGGACTGCAAAGCCAATTCATAAAACAAAGGCGACCGACAACAACAAGAAAAACAATAAAAGGCAAAAAAGCGAATTTCAATAACGGATGTAAATAAACCACAAAAGATCGATTACCTCCCCAG